AAAATCAATTAAGTTTATTAAGTTTCATAAATTACGGATTGACCCCATTAACTTAGCTTAAGAACAATTAAATCCGATTGTGATGTTGCCACCATAATATCATTTACTTCGTACATGTGGCATGTATTAACATATACTTCGTGTAGTTCTTGACACATTTTTATACATTGGATGGTTTCCACCATATTAGTGTAAACTTTGTGTAGCTGAGAAACTTTTTTCCTTTCCCTGTTTATTGACTTTTTTCATATCAGTTTATTGTTTACCTTCATCATTCCTTTTGTTGTTTGCCAAGGATGCACACTCTAGCTAGCATATTTTCTGTGTAGAATTTGATTAAAAAAAACGCACACCGTGAAACATCCCGAATAAAAAGAAATATCCTCGCTTGCTAGACCCTGCCTCGCGGCCCTGGTCATAAATGCAACAGTAGCCTCCACTAAGGACGCTAAGAACGCGTACAACTGTGGATTTTTGGCGAAGACTAGGCCTGTTCAATCTGGTGTTCGGTCCGGTTTCGGTTCGGTTTTTTTCGGTTTTCGGTTATTCGGTTTATAAAAATTAGCTACCATATTAGAACCATATTTAATTTGGTTTGGTTCGGTATTTATACTACCGGTTTTTGGTTTATTCGGTTTTATACCAAATAACATTATTATTTGATTTGGTTTCATATTATATGAATTAAAAAAAAAAAACATATTGTCAAAACTATCATTTATTAAAATAATTCTAGGTGTTCATAAATATAAAAAAGTGAAATTAATAACAAACAAAATGACCAACGATTCAGTTTTGTACAGATTTTCTTATTTTTTCTTTGTTCTTCCAAATAAATTACATAGCACAATCTAATTTCACAATTTCTTACAACATGCAAAATCAAATCAAATTTTAGATAATAGTTGAAGAAAATAAAATAAAAATATTAAGATCTATCTTCACAAAGAATAAAAAAGTAAAAAAAAAAGATTATTCTAAGAAAATAAATGGTTATATAATGTATATATTTATATATTTTTTCTTTGATCGGTTTTATTCGGTTTATTCGGTTTAATCGGTTATAAACCTAACCATATCCAAATCCCACGGTTTTGTAAAATCATATCCATTCGGTTTATATGGTATATACCAAATCCAAACCATATTGTCTATTTCGGTTCGGTTCGGTTCGGTACGGTTCGGTATTACCATATTGAACAGCCCTAGCGAAGACCTTTTTTTATCTTGGAGGAGAATTGTTTTGGTGGTTTCTAGGACAAGATTATATTAGCTGCCAACATCAGAACAAACCAGACGGAGGGTCTCTCAGTCAACAGAAAGCAGTAATCGAGGAGTGCGGACCACACGGACAACTGAAAGGAGAGAGCCTTTTTTGTGTTTAAGAAAAACATTATCAATTGTTTGAAACTAAACAAAACAAATGAATCAACTATTTGTATAGATAATTTCCCGAGCTAAACGTTTTATAGAGAATTCTACTCGTTTTTACTTTAATCCAAGGTAAAAATATTGATTTACCTATATGATTAATTCTAGATATTTCCATTATTTTGTTTTGTTTTCCAAAATTACAATTAAACTTAAGAATTTAAAACTATCACAAAATTTAGGTTTAAAAAATGAATCCTTAAAGTTTATACATACTTCAAGAACTATTTCTAAACCGAAATTTTACTAACCTTTTTAAAAACTAATATGTGATTTATAAATTAATTATTAAAATTATAATGTTATGGGAGTTGAAATTTGTAATTATTGGTCCTTTATGACATTTTCTGTAACATTTTTAAAACTTTTTATACTACAAAGCAAGAAACGTTATGAAAAAGTTTTAACAGAATCAAAATGAAATTTGTACAAATGTGTGGATCAAGTTCGAGAAAATTTGACTTTCATTAAGATTTTCCACAATTCGATAATTACGACAGACCAAAATGAGTTAATTTGGTAAATAACAATTAGCAGTTGCCAATTCTAATTTATATCAAATTCCCTGAACACCATTTCATACATTAAGTAATAACAAATTTAATTAAGTCTCGTTAGTTGTTACTAAATATCTATTACTTAACTTTAAAATTATCTGTTAATTTATCATGAAAAGATTACGGATAATAGCTACTACCAATTTTCAGTGTCTCTTTGGTTAAATGTATGCATAATTTAATTTGCCAGTAGACGGGAATTGGTTTCTATCTGCATTTGACCCTCTCAATTTTGTTTTTCTTATTTATTTATAATTCTCAACTTTTTTTACATTGTGGTCAATGATAAAGCATTTAAGTTTTCAGAATCTTAATAAATGTGTGAGTAGTATCCCAGTGACGAAATGCTGGATATTAAATTAGGCTTTTTGAGGGGAAATCTGCAAATTCATACTTCAACAGAGGAACACAGTCCCGATCAGTACATCGACTGATGACATGTGCTAAAATATATATCAACGTCGATTTATTTTAAATTTCATATACGAATTAATAAAACTACGCTAAATCATACATTGACTTATTTTCCGTTAGCCAAATGTTTATAGATGATGACATGTCATTAACATAAACTTATGTGGTGCTGAGCAGTCTATTTTTATGTGGCGTTGAGCTGTCTATTTTAATTTAAAATAATAAATAATAATTTAAAAGTTAATTTAACAATCTGTATGATGAGAGTTTGAACCTGGTTGAATCAATAAATAATGTAATGCCCAACCACTATGACAAACCGATACATTATTTATATTGTCTATGGTTTAAAATATATCTCTAACAAAAATTAATTTCTAAATCCAAACCAGGGGAGATTTGAACCCTAGTTTAATCAATGAATAATGTAATGCCCAAACACTGTGACAACTCAATACATTGTTTATATTGTCTATGGTTTAAAATATATCTCTAATAAAAAGGGAGAAAATTCCATGAAAATACCTCAACTAAATTTTGTTAAGTTTTTACCCCAACTTTTTTTGCTACCCAATTTAATATCCCAAATAATTATTTTTCTCATTTTAATACTAAAACTTTTATAACTATGTCTATTTTTAATACCAAACTTTTTTATTTTAATGAAAAGTACTAATAAGTTTCAAAATAAATTTATAAAAATCTCTAAAATCTAAGAAAAAAATATTTAAAATTTCTAATTTTACTTGAAGATTTAAGAAAGAAGGTAAACAAACTCTAGAGAAAATTTTAAAAACTGATTTTGAAGGTAAACAAATTTATTTATTTTTTATTTTAGACAAAAATAAATTCAATATTTAAAATTTAAGAAAATTATTTAAACAATTAAGACTATACAAAATTTATTTACTGTTTTTCTCAACACAAAATAAAATTAGATTTTTTTTGTAAAATTTGAGATTTTTAAAATTTCATTTGAAACTTATTAGTATTTTTCATTAAAATAAACAAAGTTTGTGTATGTTAGTGGATACAGTTACAAAATTTTGGGTATTAAAATTGTCAAAATAATTAGTTGCAGTATTAAATTGGGTATCGAAAAAGTTTGAGTAAATAGATATAAATAGATATATTGCAACTTTATTTAGACAGTCCTCCTATATGTAGATGATGAACCTTTTGATTTATGACATATATCTACGAAAATTTCTCTGGATAGTCTCACGGATAGAACAGGCTATGAAGAGGAAAGAGTCTGGTTCTTCGGTGTCGTCATCAATCTTCTCGACCTCAATGCAGGTCCATTTCACGCGGCTACCTTCATTCTTAGGAATAACAGTGATGGTTAACATTGATCGTCTGGAAATTTTCCATCATGGAAGAAGCACTGATGGAAACTCATCGTAAATGTCCTTTTCTGCCAATGCACATTTTTTTGAAAGCAAAAAAAAGAGGTATTTTATAATACCTCAAATATGAGCTAAGCTTGCTGTTGTTCTTGTTGTTGTTTGTGTGTGAGTGTTAATCTTTCCTTCTCTATCTCCCGTGCCTTGCTCGAGCATCGAACACACGTACTATGTTGCGTTACTAATACCACACAGACCGGACGAGCTACAAGAGCAAGGCGTTCCTAATCCACATTATTTTTTACATATACTAATACACAGATTCATAAACTAATTATGCAGTTTAAATAAGGCCTCACTTATTTGACAAAAGATTATTTTAGTAATTCGTTTGATCTTTGATTGTCGTATTCATCAAAATTGAGTTGCTACAATCATTCTTCGCCGCCTAGAAAAGTTAAATTTTTATCTGAATCACTCAAATTTTATAATCAAGACCAATTCAAATAAGATTAGTCAGAAAATGACTTGAGCAAACCATCCATGAGCATATGAGAAGAAGTAGATATTAGAACAGAATCGTTTTCTTTTCTAATTAATATCCAAATCATACAAGGCAACGAGAGGAGAGGAAGTCAAGATAGAGATGGTTCACAGAGGAAATTCCAAAAAGATAAAATGCAGAGTTTCAGTTTCAGATCCTTCATAATAAACATATTTCACAGTAACATTTTAAGTACATCTTAGTGAAGAACTCAACAGTGAGATCTCCATAAGATGTACAAAGCATAGTCTTTGTCTTCCTAATCGTCATCCACCCCACGACGCCTCTGGATCTGTAAAAGGCATCATGATACAAACTTAACAATCAATGATATTGGCGGTTAAGATAAGAGTAAGAACCTTGTTGTGTGTACATACCGTGACTTTTGTCTGTTTGGATGTTTGGCTGTTTATTTGTTCCAACAACGTTATAAGTCGCTCCTCAGAAACCTGTGAAAAAGAAAGAACAAATAGGAGAGTACTTCAATAACCGAGTAGAAACCTTGTGACATGTAAAGCATTATGAAGTGAAAGAATTTTTTTACCTTCTCAACAATCTGTCCCATTTGCGCAGCCCTCAGAATAACATCCTCTACACCTCTAGCTTTCTCAGGTTTCACCAGCGCAATTCGAGCAACTACAGAAACAAAACAAGAGAAAGAAGAAGGAGATGCATAAGAGATACATCCTCTACACCTCTAGATCAACACTATTAAGACTGGACTTACTTCTCTCTCGGGCTTGGGAAGACAAGATTTGACTAAGCATCATTTGTCTACGTTCATCAGCTTCCCTAAACATATGTTACAATCAGAGAATAGGTTAGCACAAAATAGGGAAAAAGATCAAAATTTACTTTCAGCTAATAGACAACAAAGTATACAAACCTTTTAGCATCTTCTTGAGCTCTCTCTTGATCTGGATTCTGCTGATTTCCCTGCTTCCCCTGCCAATCAAGTTGGTTCACAATGAGCCACCAAAGTGCAATTAATCAAAACCAAAACAAAGGCATAAAGTAAAAAAGGTTATTAAAAAGATTTACAGTGCCATGTTGAGCCATGAGCTCTTGCATCCTCCTCTGCCTAATAGCTTCTAGTTCAGGATCAGCCTACACACACAAGGAAATCAAAAGAGGCAGATTTAATGAACATAATCTGACAAAGTTTTAAACTTTCGAACTTGGGCTAACATGATAAGAATGCCATGATTGCTCATTACACCTAGAATTCAAAACCCAGATAGCATTACTGATTCAAATCTTAGATAACATATCACAAAAGTTTCAATCTTTCTCTGAGACAAAGATTCAAATCTCATTCAAAGGGACCAACTTTCAATCCATAACAGAACCAATCATTCACATTAATCATTTCTACGAATGAGATTTGTAACTTATGCATAATCTCAAAGACAAAAGGCTCTAAACCCTAACAAAAACTCAGACTTTTCCAATGATAAACGAAAAGAAATTTGAAAGGCGCGAAAGCTGTTTCGAGATATAAGATTTCTCACCATGGGAGCAGTCTTCTTCTTCTCCTTCCTCTCTGATGGATGCCAAATCTGTGTTGCGCTTCAAATCCAACGCAGAGCAGCTCCAAAGAGGTATCAAATGTTTTAAAGCCCAAACTTAGCTTTTTCCAGACGCGCTTCATCGTTTTTTATATATTCCTCCCATATGTTTTATAGTTTAACAAATTTAACCGTGAACTTATGATTTCTACATTTACCACCACACCCAATGAGATAGCTCAAGTTTTTTTTTTCTTGGGTCAAAAAATGCAATAATCATATTATTATACCAAAAATCCACCTTTTAGTTTATTTTAGAACTTAAAATATAATAAAGTTTTAAAATATTTTATCAAAAATCAAAAATAAAATGAAAAATGGAATGGAGTTGAAAATGATCTGAGTATATGTTTATTTAGTATACCAAGGAAAAGTAAAATAGAATGATTCCAAAATAAAGTTTTAACACTACTCCATTTTTCCAATTAGGAGTGAAAAAATGCAATGATACATATTATTATACCAAAACTCTACTTTTCATTTTATTTCAGAAATAAAAATAAAATAAAGTTAAAGATATTTTATCAAAAAGAAAATATGAGAAGAAAAATGGAATGAAGTTGAAAATGTTCCCAATACATATTTATTTAAGAGAAAATGACTAGAATAGACCTACAATTTTTTTTTCCACAAATATATACATTAACAATTAAAATGACCAAAATAGCATTTAAATGTTCTATTAAATATACATTTATAACCTTTGAATTAACTAATCCTAAATTTTTTTTTGTTTATAGTTGAGAAGTGAGGTTTTGGGGATAGGGTTTCGAATTTAAAAAAATTAAGAAAACTTAAAATTTTCAAAATAAAAAGTGATATTTTGATCATTTTAATTGTTGAAATCTATTTTTGTGATAAAAACTTAAAAGATGGCTATTTTAGAGAATTGCCCTTTATTTAATGTACCCAGGAAAAGTAAAATACAGAGTAGTGATCTTTGAGGCAAAAAACATGTAGGCACATAGAAACTGTAACAGTGACCTTTCTTCTCTCAGTGATTCAGACTTTGTTTCTCTGTCTTTTATGAGACAAGACAAGAGATGACAAGTGATGATACGTATCTAAAGTGAGCAAGTTTTCAAAACAAGTATATGTGATTTGTTTACTGGATGAGAATATAGTTTGCATCAAACAAATCTCCAGCAGTGGGAGAGAGGTTGTTTCTCCTGACTTGCGCGTGTGTCTCTGCTTCGTGTTGAAATATCTTCACCACATCTTGTAGCTCCAGCTTCCTCACTTCTACTTGTTCTTCCGTGATGGGCTTTTTCAGCCCCAAGTATACCAAACCAACCGCAATGAGAACAGCTCCAATGATGATCATCAGCAGAGTGAACAGACCAAATGCATAAGGAGTGTTCTGTGCACCGGGGATACCATCCACGTTGATCCCAAACAATCCCACAATTATCGTAAGTACAAGACCACATCCTCCAAAGACGGCTAAGTTATGGCTCACTCTCAGACTCTTGTCCTGAAATTTACAAATCAGAATTGGTTTCAGCTTAAAACTATGAGATGGTTAAATTTTGTTTGGCAAGGGAGAACAAACCTGTAACCAAGCACGGACACTACTTTGCATGACATCTTGAATTGTAAACAGACGTCCACGGACTGCTTCTTGTTCCTCCAGCATTTCCCTTGTGTTTTTCCTCAAACCGTCCAACAAATGGCGAGCTATGTTTCCTCTAAGATGCTGTACAAGTTCAAAGATAATCTCCTCTCTTGCGTGTAGTGACCACTTCACTCTGATGACCTGTTATGAGAAAACAAAGACTTCATGTTCCTAACCATAGTTCGGTTAAACCGAGGCTTCGCTGCAATGAAGGGAAGCATTACCTGTCTTGATAATTTTCTAATCTCTTGGTTGAGAATGATACTGAAGAGATTTACATCCTCATGGTTTCTCCTAATACCAAGAAAAGCTCGTCTCTATTAGTTAAAACATGAATACTGTGAACTATACCACCAAACAAATGAATATGTATATGTAAGAACCTGTTCATAAACTTCAGTTCAATTTCATCGGCTGCACCAAATATGGATTTACGAAATAGCCTATCATTAATCAAAGACAACAAAAAAAGATCCTATTAGATACTCAAGCATCTTGGAGAAATGGTTTGCTAAACCAGAAAGAAGTTGTCACCTATCATCCCATCGAGAAAGACGGCAAGCCAAGTGTGCTATTACTTCATGAACCGTTCTTGGTACGTTATAACCTCCTGCATAAAGCAGTTCCTATCACAAAAACCAGAAGAAAATCAATGCAAGCCATAATCCATGTTATATTAGGTCTAAAGAATCTTATGAAGTAAAATAACTTGACAGTTTTGTGAACGAACCTCTACTTCAGTGACGCCCAGGACATTGGTGTTTGATACATTTCCTTTGACGTGCATCACAGTTACCAAGAAGTTCTTAGCTTGCCAAGACCGAAAAACAACAGGAACATCATCCTCACTAATCACAGGATCACCAACTGATTGTCCTAATAGCTCAAACAATAAACCTCCAGCAACCCTCACTGGAACCTCGTACAGAAGGTGTCTCATCCGTTCACTAATCAGCTTACTCTCATCCCTCAACGCAAGACTAATAGCAGGATGCAACCATGTAGCATTCCTGAGCCATGCCTCAACAGAAGAGTGTCCAGCAGCCATATGGCACCACCAAGTAGGACCACCTGGTCGTTCCCAATAAGGAGCCGCTAAGTCTGTAACGGGGACATCCTCTTCATCATCAATCAACTCCAAACTAGGCCACTCCGCATTCACTTGCACCATTTGAACTAGCTCAGAGATTCTAGTCCAACCAATAGGCACCCAACGACTCCCCTCGTATCTCTCAGCATGTGCCGTTGGAAGCACATGGTCATCTATAAAGTTCAAAGAAGATGCCGACCTTGACCTTGGAACATCTGCTGCAGATGAATCAACAAAAGGGTTATTATGGTTAAACTCGGAGGAAGTAACCCTGGTGTGTCCATCTTCTTGCTTCAAGTGAACATGTTTTTTTGGTCCTCGGATAAACTCAAAGGCGCAAATGAGCCCATCAGTCCAAAGATCACTCTTGGGGACGGTTGAATGATTCTTGGATTTACTCTCTTGTGAGACTGAATGATTCTCTCCATTTTCTCCCATTGGTTTATTCAGTAGAAAAATAAACCAGCTAGCTCTACTGCCTGTATTACAAATAAGAGAGTGAAACATTAATCTCATCATCAGCACCCACCAACATTCCTTCCGATAAATTGTAGAACAGATAATTCAAATTTCTGTGAAATCAAATTGAAAGAGATGCCAATATGAGAAAAAATGCAAACTTTTGAGTTTTAACACAAATGGACCATCACAATGGCTAACAAGAGCTTCAACTAAGATGGAAACACCACACACAAAAAAAAAAAAGAAAAAAAAAGGAAACTAAAAGACATTAACTTGAGAAGTTGTCTTAAGATCATGTGGGGGATTAAAACATGCACTTGGTCTCTAACACATATCACAAAATCTAAGAAACCCAAAAAAGCTCACTATATGGTACCAATATCTTCACATGGGAAAACAAATTCTCTTAATTTGTGAACATACACACTCCTTTTCATCCAATACTAGGAAATTACATGCAAGAAATAAAGTTACTCAAACACAGCATCAATTACAAATCTATGAGAAAAAAACAATCAACAGGATGCAAACTCTTAACTTGGGGGGATAATCTCGAAGAAAGTGCCCACAGCCCTAAAACAATTCGAGTTTCCTAAAGAGAGAAGACTGGGGAAGAAGGAAGGAAAATCTCACCATAGAAGCAGTTCTCTCTGTTCCGTAGATGCCAAATCCAACACTGAAAGTTGGTAATGAAGAGGAATCTTCAAGAATTTTGTTTTAAAGTTTAAAACTTTCCAGGGAACAAAAAAAAAAAAGGAATGCTTAAAAAAACAAATTCAATAGTAGCTTTTCGAAAACGCGTTTTTACACATTGGACCCATTGGTTTTACTTTATTACAACATTAACCGTTAACATTAATTATTACAGATTTAACCATAAAATTATCACTGCGCTAACGATGAGTCTGGCTCTTGCTGCTGCATAGTGAGTGCATACACTTATCTCAGTCTCTAGAAAACAGGTCAAACGAAATGATATATCTGTCTTGTTGATAAGTTTGAACGTATGAACCCACTTATCAACTCTCTCTTACACAGTTACACGTAAAACGATCTCATAACAATCGTCATCTCATGGCGTCACTCATCAGTTCACACAAATAGCATGAAGAAGAAAAAAAAGCTAAACAACCCCTACACTTTATTCATATTCATTCTTTCTTCCACGTAGCAAAGTCTCCACTTCACCCCGAGTCTTTGCTGCAAGTTCCCTTGCGTATTGACTTCCTCTGCTTTCTTCAACTCTGTATCCGTTGATGCTTGAGCTCCAAGTCCCGTATCACTTGTCTTCGTATGTGTATTTTTGCATTTATATCTTGCGACACACTTCGTGTATGTACTTGATACTTGGCTTGTGAATTTGTGATTATTCTTGCTATTACCGAGAGCTTCTTGTGTACCCTAAGTCCCTAATCTCTAATCAAACTAACCAGTTACTATTTTCAGTGTATCTGATGCTATTCTCCATTTAATTTCAGCTTTGCTCACTGGACGAGTGGGATGTCACAACTGGTGGATCTGCTTCTGGAGATAGAACGTTTTGCTCCCTACAAAGTATAGTTTTTCTTGTTTTCACTGTCTTGATGAATCGATATCATTATAAAAAAAACATGCTTCATCTTGTTGGATTTTTTGATGTATATGAACATTTAGCAAATGTATCGTATATAGCAAAATTACCTCTAGGAGAGACGCTATACTAGGGGCATCAACCAGCAAATGATATAACAAACTTTTGTTCAATGTACTTAAAACTCCTCTACTGTGTCAGTAATTTATTTACCCCCACATTGTAGCCTAGGACGGGGTGCAATACGATGGGGGAGCATGAATGAATCTTGTTCGTCTCCTTCAACCCGCAAAGAAAGAACCAAATGGAAAATCATTACTTTCCTTGGTTTGTTTGGAATTCTATATAGTATTAGTTATTAGGTGAGGAGAGAGTGTGGGCTCATTTTGTTGGGGCATTCGCATGCTGAAAAGTGCTCCCCCATGTGATGCAAAACACAGTAAAAATACTTGAAAGGTATGTTCTTAGCACTACGAAACTGTCATGAAACTGAATTGGATAATTTTCAGAAGCTTGAACTCAATCCTGAAAGTTCTTAAAAGCATTCTAATATCAGCAACTACTACTAAATATGCCTTGGGCAAAGAACACCATCTTACGAATAATATGAATGCATATATAAACTGACAGAAATTATGTATAACTTAATCAGTCCCTCTAACAACAATAGATCTAAAACTTGGCATTAAAATGACTAGTTCTTGTTCTGCAGAAATAACACATTGTTGCTTGTGTGCTTACAGCTGGAAAAAAGCTTCATATCTATAATTTGTTCCAAGAATCTTGTTTCCCAAATCTTCAACAACAGTAAGCTGTTTGCTACAAACATACACATTCTGAAACTCCAAGGAAGTGCCCTGCATAACAACCCACAACTATGGATTAAACGTGAGACAGATACAAAGACACAGCGTTTGAGTTTACTACAACTAAGCTAGAAGAACAATAAATGTTTCTTAGAAGCAGAATAAATGGTTAAGAGCAGTTTCCTAATACACAAACCGGTAGCTGATAACTTCCTTTTCTGATTGAGACACTGCAGACATACTTCCCAACCTATAATACAAATACATGATTCGGACTAATACTCTAGTTTCTTTGATCGGTTGCTCTTAAAACTTCTAAGAAGAATTTCACATCACTTGTTTAAAAGTAAACTAAAGACAAAAGTCCCAACATAAGTTAGACTGCCCAAAGCAACAAAAGCACACATCAACAATAAACTAAAACCCCACTTATAACATAGTACCAACATCTAATGTGTACCTCAGAAAAGATTGTTGATATCATCTTGAAACAGGTTTCTGAAGCAGCGCCGTCAAGAAAACTTCACCATGCTTAGAATCAACCTTACTCGCCACAGCCCACTTCACCTTCTTATACCCCAACTTCCCAATCATCGGCCCATAAACATTCTCAAGATCAACCTTCTTACTAAAAAACCTATCCAACCAAAGATAACCGCCACCCCTAAGCACCCTATCCAAATCAAACAACAAAAACTCCATAACCGTAACCGGAATCCACCGGTTCACAGCCCTCCCACACCTAACCAAATCCACCACCCCATCAAAAACCGGCATCCTCTGCTGAAGAGGCACATGCAACGGCACAAGCCCCCTCAACGCCACCGCCTCGCTATACGGCGCGTTGAAGTTCATCGTCGTCGTCACAACAGTAACGTTCCTCGCCTTCATCGCCGCCGCGAAGGCTCCCGTCCCTCCGCCGACGTCGATCCCGAGGCGGAGGACGGAGTTGGCGGATTTAGCGATCTTGAGAAGCTGCGTGATGGGGAGATCGAGCTCGGTTTTGTAAGAAGAGAACTGAGACACGGATTTGTCAACAGAGAGATCGAAACCTAAACCGGGAAACTTGGCGGCCAAGCAATCGAAGTTCTTGCAGGAGAAGTGAGACCAGATGACGCTGGAGTCTTTAGGAGGCGTGCGGGAGAAGCAACGGCGGCGAGGGAGAGGGTGGCAGCCGCGGAGGATGAGTTTCTCGACGAGATCGGAGTCTGAGGGGCAGAGGGAGAAAGGAGTGTAGTTCATGTAGTGGTGGAGGAGGTCAGGGTGGTTGTGGCAAGAGGAAGCTATGGGGGAGAGTTTTGAGTAGAGGAGGAGATCTTTCGAGGAGGAGGTTGATTTGTCTGGTTGTTGGTGGTGGTGGTTAGTGAGGTGGTTGATGGCGGAGCGGATTGTGTGGAGTTGACGGAGGAGGTGGTCGGGGACTGTGGGGACGGAGGAGGGGGAGGATTTGAGGGTGGATTGGAAGAAGTTTGTGGTGGAGGAGAGGTGGTAGAGGGAGAGGATGTTGGTGGCTACCATGGCTACTAGGAGAAGTAGATTCAAGCTCATAGTGAATCCTGCCATTTCTGTTAGCTCTCGGATCCAAGTTCTTGAATCTGTGTTTCGTTAAGACAGAGATTCTTGGTTTTTTTTTTTAATTTGGGAGAGAGAATTTGATTCTTGGGCTTTAATGGTGTCTTTTTTGGCCTTAGATTAGTGACACTGAGATAAGCTTTTTTAGCTAGGAGACCTTGAAGTCAAATCTGGAGAGAGTAGTAGATACAAACAGAGATCTGAGTTGATAAAAGTATTTATTTTATGTTATTAATTTATAATGGGAAAAGGCATTTATTCGCATCCAATGTCATTATTAAATTTTTGCATGGAAAAGTAATTAATAATTGTGGTGACGAGTTGTTGGCATAGTAATGTAAAATCCGCATTCTTGGTTTTAAATTAAGGCACGTAGGAATTTAACACATCTGTATATGTTCACATGTCTTTGTCTTTTTCTATTCCTTTTTTACAGACAAGAAAACTTAAATTTCCGACAAAGTAATAACTTTCAAAGCTTAATCCACATGATAATTCTGAATTTTTTTTTTTCAGTTAATCCACAGTAATTTTAGTGTGTTTGTACTTAGGATGATCATGTTTTGCTACAAAAGTGGATATGTAGAAACGAATGCAAGTGTAGTAGTATCAATTTTGCGCAAAGAAAAACTTGAGAAAACCAAAAGAAACACCCAATGGCAGTGGAACCAGATCTGAGAAGTTTCCAGGATTCTACTAAAAAGTTACAAAAGCTAAAAAAATGCTTCCTTCACAAAGCTACGGACTTTGTTACTTTGTCTATATGGTATCTGCTAACTTGCGCCCACACGCGTGAAAGAGTCTCACACGTGTGGCATTTCAGGAAATTGACAAGCTTCCCCCCCCCCTTTCCTTGAGTTATTTTACAGAAAGAAGAAAACTTTCCAAAAATAAAATCAAAGAAAAAAACAGAGGTCTTTTTTTTTTTGTGTCAATGTCGGAATCTAGCTCAAGCTTCTCGTCACTCACTCTCCTACTCATCATCTTCCTCCTCGTATCACTATGTCCATCGCTTTCATCGTCTTCTGAATCTAAAGAAGTTGGTGTTTTGGATCGGGAGCTGTTGGAGATCCAGACAAACCCGAAGCTGAACAAGACTAGTAGAAAGCCCAAGTGCTGCGAGATGCGGACAAGATCTCAGTGTTCGGGTTTCCCTAGATGCAGATGGTGTCGAAGTGAAGCTCTCGACGACTTGTGTTTCAGTAAAGCCGAAGCTTTGCGACTTCCAAGTCAAGTCTTTCGCTGTGAGTTATAATGTTCTTGCGGAGCTTTGGTTGGAATCAGATATAGAGAGAGTTGTGTTGTGTTCTTTCCAAATTTTGACTTGTATTAACGTCTATGGTGTTGTTGTAATTGATTTGAGTATCACGAAATTTACTGGATCTTGATCCTTTGGAAGATGTTTCTTTCCTGTTTTGTTTATATTTTTGAGCTCATCACTCTTCGCTATTAAAGGTCTGGTGAATATGCGATCACACTGATTTGTGTCTGATATGCATCACTGTTAGTATTCAAAATGGTTAACTAATTGGTAACTTTGGTATTTGTCTCTCTTTCCCTATGATATGTCTGTCTTCAGCTAGGTTATGGGGCTTGTTTGTTCTAATAGCAGTAATATAGCGTTTTGGAGCTGTTCTTTGCGTCACTGCTCTGATTTGGAATTTAGGAGCAGAGCTAAGGCCAAAGTGAGCAAAGATCTTGGTAAAACCTTGTTCAGGCTGAAGAAATGCTTGAACTCAGGAACTGCAACAGAGTTATTTGCTATAGGATCATAAAGCAGTTGGGAAGTTTTTTAACTAAACCTAAACCCCTTTTTTATTCCATAAACATCTGCTTTGTACATGGTACAACATTGAATAAGGAAGCATCCCTTTTCAACGCCAAAAAAAAACTACCACCTATAATATTTTTCTCCCACCCCCCTTAACAAGTAAACCCAAAAGAAAACGCTAAAAAAAAGGAAAAACATATCCGGAAATAACAGATATATACACATTATAACAGCTAGTTAGCAAGAAGATCCTGGACTGCATCCCTCATATCCTCATACACGTAACAGATTTCTAAAAACTCCACAAGCTTCATGAGTTCTTGATCTTTCAGGTCATCCACAAAAGCCTTTATAGGCACTCCATTCTCTGGCTGTAAAGAGTAAGAAGATGGATTATCATCAACTATCAAAGCACTTGCAAGATCTTCCCCCACTACCATAGATAAGTCCTTCACATATCTTCCATTCACTTCCCTGCACGAGTCTCTATACAGCCGCTGCGAGATCACACCGTTCTGGTCTATCTTATCCAAAACCTGTGAAGCATAATCTTCCAGACCAGCTGTGAAAACCACCACTTCGAAGCTCTCACCAAGTCTTTCCAAAAACTCAGTCACACCAGGACGTTTCACCACAAAGATTGGCATGATCTCGCTTTCCATTTTCACCATCACCATGAAATCATATCTGACTCCAGGGATTTGGGTGGTTGAATGAACCAATGTTTCATCAAGATCGAGGATGATTGTCCTTTTCGTGTGAGGTTGGTTCTCGAGTTTTGTATAGTCATCATGTATTGTGGATGGGTAGCTGAGGGATGTGGCTGTAAAGCACCTGGAAACACAACGCAGAAGGCGGCAATGGAATGTAAAGATGGACATGAATAGATTCTTTTGGTGTTTGTTTTCGATGTTTTTTTCAGAGGCCATTTGATTCCCCAATGAAGACAAAATAAGTTTGCAGCTCTTCAGATGGAAAGCTTTGTTAGTGTAAGATGTTTCTGAAATGTAATATTCTGCTAACTTTTATATGATAATTGATAATATCCACATTTGGTTTAGTTTTGTTTGTTTATGGGAGTTTTAGAGGTGAAGTAAAGCAGATGCCTAGTTTTAGTAAATTTCTGTTAAGACAATTGAGCATAGTTTTGCTGTTTCATGGGACAACAATGTACATACAATATGAACCCACAATAGATACAGTTGAAGGTTGTAATGGCATTACATTTGGAAGTGTATTGCTGCTCTAGTTGTTGCTACTTCACTGGCATGGTTTTATGTGAGTGGTGAACTAGTTAAACAATTTGTTAGAATTGTTTTAACTTAAAAGTTGTTTCAAGTTTTAACATAATACTGTAAAATAACAACCAAAACAAGAAAAAAAAAATAGAAACGGTTTATCCAATATGGATTAGTTATTGATATTTTATCAAGTATAATGGTTTAGGTTTCATACTTTCATTTCTTGAATCAATTCTCTTTTTTGGTCAAAGATTGAATCTATTCTCTTCCAGAGTCAAGTTCAGAAGGAAGTAAGCTAAATTTTCTTATGAGACATATTTAAATGAGCATGGACAGCTCATAGCTTAAAGGGTGTTTTCTCTGTGAATTATCAATTATCTCAAGCACATAAAGTTAACAGTCTCATACTCTCATTATTGAATGTCCTTTCCCGTGGTCACTATTTGGTTCATTGAATGTCATTCATCAGAATTTCTAGTAAGAACTTAAAAGCATCCAATGGATGTTTCTTTTACCAGTCAAGGCACTTACAAGACTACTTTCTTGTAGTATTCCATTTTCTAGTACTCAACATCTGACGCGCTATGTAAACAATTTAGAGATTTAACAGCTGCTGCAACAGCTGCAGCCGAACATGTGGACCGATGATGATGATGTTGATGTTGATGCCGGTTTCTCCTTCCTTGATTATGACGTCCATGTGATCTCAGGGTCGGTGTACTCCCTAGAAATCCATGGCACGCCATTATCAAGAGATCAGAGTTCTTTTTTTTGTATTCCAGCAGCTGGCTCAGATGGAAACAAGGAGAAATGGTGATATGTATATAGCCCTCTTAAGGTTCTAACTTCCATGAATCCATGCCATTGGCTTTGGAACTGACAGGCACTTGATTTGGTATTGTTTTAGTTTGTTAAGGTTGTAATTAGAGAGGCTCTTAGTTATTTTTAGCAAAAATAACAGTTTTTGGAAGTTTTAGACACATTTGAGTTCTGATTGTTTCTCTCTGTGTTCTCTCAATGGACAGCAACATGTAAATGTCAAGACAGAACGTTTCATGAAAGTGTTTCAAATAATAGAGGCTCAGAGATTTTCATGGGATTATAGTTATTGTATATAAATGTATAACTTTAATACATCTTAAATGAACATTTTAATATCAACACATTTGTTATATTATCAAACTCGTTTTTTGAAAGAACATATCATAAACCCAAACCACATAAGATTTACAAATTAATTAAAGAACTTTTAGAAGCTAACAAGGAAGTGAAAGTACCGTTTCTTTCAGACTGTAACAAAACATGATTTACAGAAACTATTGACTCATCATCTACGGCCAGTCTGATTTGAAGTTGGTCTGTCTCTACTTCGTGTTCTTGGTATTACCAAAGGTCTGCAACAAACCAACGCAAAAAGCAACTCCATAACGAACAGACTCATACTAATCCATACATACAAAGTCTTCCTCCATTTCCATATAATTTTCTTGAAGAAAGGAAGATCTGATTCAAGCGAGAGGGATGCATCATACAGCTCTGGAATACCTGCACCAGGTCTAAACTCAGCCCTTTGTTCGATCATTACCTTCAAGCAAGCAGTGGGAACGTCCTTTTCTGCAAAGCCTTTCAGCTTCAAGCTCATTGTTTGTATCTCAGAGACGTATCCTGTAACTAACGGAACCATTTTTAAAAATGTCTGAACAAGACGGATAGGTTGGCTTCTGAATCTCAACATGCACGGACGCCGAATACTGTTAAGCGTTTGACCATCCGCAGATAAGAAGTCCACACGAACCTTCAACAAACACACATGGATCAAACATCAAAACATGAATGCAATGCTTAGAATGTTAGCTTACGTCAATACCTGAAACATGCCGAGGTTTTTATTATACTCAGACTCAGGCAACGTCATGAAAAGAGTGATCTCTAACTTATGGTCACGAGGGATAGCTCGAACACCTCTGACCTTCAACATCTCATTACCCTCCTTGCAACTTCCATCACACGAGGTTATAGGCACAAACGCTTCAGGACTATTCTTAGTGTAATCGAAATTCAAAACCTCCTTGAGTACAAACGGTTTATCAGCAACACGGTTTATCATAAACCCACCAAGCATAAGAGCCAAAACAAACAAACCAAACAGAACAAGACCAACGTACACAGCCCAAAACAAACCCCATCCAAACTTCCACGCAACGTTCAACATACGTTTGGTGTCTTTTAACCAACCAAGCTTAAAGGCTCCTAACACTATATCAGTTATCACTCCAACTTGTGTCGTTAAGAGACGTCTGACTAGCTTAATGGTGCTAAAGGGATCAAACATGAAGAGGAAACACCAGTGGAGTAATAAAGGTGGATACTTGAAAAGACTGATGACCAAATTGAATTGAAATTCGATTGCTTTGAATATTAGATTAAGCAAATAGCCAAGGAGAGACCAATCTGTTGAATCGGGTTCTTGGAGCTCCGGTGGTGGTGATGATCGTGGACTGTCGTTGCTCACGGTGGTCACCGTGGATTCTTCAGTTAAGCTAACGCCTTCCTGAACCGGGTCAACCCGGGTCCGACCCGAATCCGTCACATCCATGGATTCTTCGGTTTTCTCTTCGTGAACCGGGTCAACCCGGTCCTGACCCGAATCCGTTACATCCGTGGATTCTTTCGTTTTCTCTTCCTGAATCGGGTCAACCCGGGCCCGACCCGAATCTGTTACATCCGTGGATTCTTCGGTTTTCTCTTCCTGAACCGGGTCAACCCGGTCCCGACCCGAATCCGTTACATCCGTGGATTCTTTCGTTTTCTCTTCGGGAACCGGGTCGACCCGGTCCTGACCCGAATCAGATACGACAAAGTCGTCGTCTTTCTCTGGAGATAGGTCAATTAGGTCATTGGTTGATGATTCGATTACGTCACAGCTCGATTTCTCTAATCCATTGGAAGAGGAGGAAGAAGACGGTTCAGTTTCTACATCGGAACGAATCGAATTTCGTAAAGGTGTTGACTTTCTACGACGGAGAGTCGCGGCGGAGGGAGATGAATATTGACGGTGGGAATGGCGACGGATCGGGGAAATGCAATCGTAGTAGAATTCGTCTGGTGCGTCGAGGAATCGATCGGATTCCTCTTCGTGGGAGATGGTAGCGTTTGAGGAGCCCATTGATCATAAGAGAAGAAGAAGAGATGAGAAAGGTGAGGTTTTCAAGGCATCGGAGACGAGAGAAGAAGCATCGTAGCGTGACCGACCTTCTTTTCTTTTTTTTTAATCGGCGGGATCGATCCTATACGAAGTTATCAAACCGGATTTTTTGATAACCGGAGCTGACTTTTAAACCAAACCTCACGAAGTTTAGAACTTGACAGTTTCTAGTTCCTACTAGGCTTGGCGTTTGGGGGTTCGGTTCTTCGAACCAAATCATTTTCTGGTCGGTTTATGACATAGTTCGCTTTGGGATTAAATATGCTAATGAAATCGAACAAAATTTCAATTCAGTTTGGTTAAACTTTGGTTAATTGGCTTTTTTTCCATTTTATTGCCAAACTGAATTTCAGGTTTTTGTTAAATTCAGTAATTTTGGTTAACATCGATTAGTTTGATAGACTTTTTATTGGTTTAATTTAAAATTATTCTAAACAATTTTGAAGGTTAGGATTTATCCTTTTAAATGATACTATAATTTTAGTTTTTACTAGAACCACGTGCCCATAGCCTTCGAGTAAAATATCTTTCTTCTCTAGCAGCCTTTGAAGACAGAATAAAATGCCTGAAAGACTTAGTTTGCCAAGCGCTCTCTAATACTACTTGGAAGGAGAGTAACTCAGGGACTTCACACAAACTTGTTCAGAGACAGGCTCACTCTATTATTGAAGACATCAAACATGTAATTAACCTAGTGCAGACTTCTTCCCTTCTCAAAGGCTCAAGGTTTATACTTGGTCATCAAGTTCTCGGCTCACATCTTGATTTCATCTTTCAAATCTACCCTCTTCTCTTCTCCTTACTTCAATTGGAAGCTCGCTCGCTAATTTTACTTGCTAACCCTTTTGGGGTTTTTGTATCCAAGTTGTAACCCGAGTTGTGTTGTTGTTATTAATGAAAAAATACTTTAAAAGGGTTCAAAGCAGAAAAAAACGGAAAGTATTCTAATATACCCCATTTGGAAAATTACTATTTTAACTATCCCACCATTTTTCTCACTGACCCACTTTTTTTTTTCGTAGTAGTTTCTGGTAATTCAAGGTAGTTTGTTTTTTGTTCATAGTAGTTTCTAGTAATTTAAGGTAATTTCTAGTAATTCAAAGTAATTCAAGGTAGTTTCTAGTAATTTATATTACACATAATACTGATTCATTAAAGGTTATTGATTTTTTAACCATACTTAGACTTTGAGAAAAAAAAATTTAAATTTAAGATGGATTAAAATAGAATGAAGATGGTAGTGAGTGGGGTCAATATGGAATTTATTCCGAAAAAAACAGAGAGTGGATATTAGAAGACAATTAGACAAGTACCTGACTACTTATCCTTTACCCCCTAATTTTGTCACATGTCTATTTCATTTCCAATGTATTCTTTGCCAGCTCATTGTCTTCTTTTAATTGTAAAAAGAATCTGCTTTGCTTTAAACCAACTCTAGTAATCACAACAACTGTCCCAGCATAATTGGTCTACTTCAAAAAATAAAATGAAATAATTGTGTTTTTACTATTTTGGAATCTATTCTTTTTTAATATACAGGTCATTTCTTAAACGCACACCATTCACACATAAAAGGATTAACATCTCTAAATATTTTAAAATTAAATACTATTTTTGAGTTATGTCCTTCTAGTGGATTTTTTCTGTTCAACTTTTACAGGTTCACTGCTTTTTCTCTTTGTTGGAGTTTTACCCATTACTCTTCTTTTCTGGCTGTATTCTTCTCTGTAAAATATTTGACTTAATTAATAATATTATTTTTCTGGTAAACAGTTTGACTTAATTATTGTAAGAAAAAAAAAGAAAAAACTTTGAAAAAAGGGAGGAAAAACCACTGTTCGTATGTAGATTTGTCATAATTCGACAAAACCACTAAGAATCATTATCACTCCTTACCCAAACCAACCCATAAAACTCAGATCTTGCTTCCACACGATATTCAACATTGTGGATGAGATTCTGATCTACTGCGTCGTCTCTCACCCGCCTTATCCTCTAATATCTTTGTGTTTCATCTCTTCTTTAATCAAATGTTTACCGACAAGAAGAAGAAGAAGAAAAGGGATATTAATATCTTCGTTTTCTCTGTTTTTGCCATCATTTGCTTCAAATTTTACAGTATAAATGCTTTCAAATTACCACAAGATGAAGGTATGTGTCTAAAGTTAGCATCTTTCTATTTTAATTTCATTGGTAAAAGTTTCCATGTATGATAAAGTTTCTGGGTTTTCATAATTCTTTGGAAATAGAATTTTTTTTTTTGTTTAAAGAAAAAAAATTGGTTACAGAAATTATTGGGTGACGTTGAGGGTTTTGTAGGGTTTTACTTTTAATTGAAGTTGTTTAACCAAAAATCTGCAGGCGTTGATTGGGTGATTAGGTCAATTTACGTTTATTAAATCATATTTTGATTGTTTTTTTTGTTTGAGTGTCCTACAGAAAGGGCTTGTCATATCTCAGTATTAGAACTCTTAAGTGAAACTGAAAAAGCAGTTTCTTTTCATGATTGTTGATGCTAAAGAGTTATATAATCTTTGTGTTTTTTGCTATAAGTAATTATCCTGATGGTGTCTTGTGCTGTTTTTTCTTCTGTGCTTGTTCCTTTAGTCGATGCTCTGCAGCAAATCGCTACCACACTTGGCTCCAAGTACTGGAAGTTTGATGCTGATAATTGTATAGTCGAAAAACTGGGGCTTACGGAGACTCCTCCTCCCATAGCTGAGCATGTAGTAGAATGTGAATGCAGTCCCACCAACGACACTGATTGTCATGTTGTGAAAATGTAAGCACACTCAGGCACTCTTTTTTTTCTTTTCAATTGTAAAACTTCCAAGGCACTATGGTTTATATTCCTGTTTGGTTGTGCACTCTTGTTGATCTGTGTTAAAAAAGGGATATTGTTATCTCTAGGTGTATAGGTTCTTCTGTATATTTGCTAGAAGTCACTTGTCTTGAGTTTATCTTTAGTGCAAGTTTTTATATAAAAACCCTTGTGACCATGTCCTTGATTTGACTAAATAGCAAAGAATGAACAATGTTTTAGCTAATCTTGACTCTTGATTTGACTCTTGATTTGTTCTTTAGTGCATTCAAGGATCATAATCTACCAGGAACTCTTCCTCCTCAAATAGTTAAGCTTCCTAAACTCCGGGAGATGTAAGTGCTCACATAAAAGTTATCTCAACTTTTCTTTAAACTAAATAAGAAAGCTTCAGTCCAAGCAGATAAAAGCTGCTAATTTTGACCACTGTTTCTTGCTATGTTTAGAGACTTTGCCTACAACTACCTCAATGGGACTATTCCGCTTGAATGGTTTACGACAAATTTAACATCAATGTAAGAACATTCCCTCTTAATGGTTTAGTTTTTAGTGTCTAAATGCTCTTGTAACAGTAACATAATGTCTGTGCAGCTCTCTTCTTGTGAATCGGCTGTCAGGGGAACTTCCAAAAGAGTTGGGAAACTTGACTTCACTAACTTTCTTGTAAGTTTCAGGCATCCGTTGATCTTCTTTGTTCGGTAAATTGGTTTGGTGTTATATTGTTTTTTTTCTGTTCTTGTATAGGAATCTCGAGGCAAATGCGTTTTCTGGAACCATTCCTGAGGAGCTTGGGAACTTAGTTCATTTGGACACACTGTGAGAGTTTCTGATACCCTATCCGTTTCTTTGTATCTTGTTCTGTGTTCATGGTGTTTTTTCTGAATTTGATGAGATCTTTCTTGTGGTTTCATCTTTTACAGGATGCTTTCCTCCAACAATTTGACGGGAAATTTACCAGCTTCATTATCTAAACTACCGAATATGACAGATTTGTAAGACTTTTGTTCTCTCCTCTTTTTTTGTATCTTAACTGCTTATTATGTTGGTCTCCCTTGTTCATATGCTGTTTTGTTTTTGGCACAATGCAGAAGGATTAACGATCTCCAACTCAATGGAGTGATACCTAGTTACATACAAAATTGGAAGGAACTCCAGAGACTGTAAAATCCTTCTTCTTATACTCTTCTTTGTTGTTTCTTGTTTTTAGCTCTCAGTGATGACATTCTTTCTTTGTTGCTTGTAGCGAAATGATTGCGTCTGGTCTCACTGGTCCAATCCCACCGGTCATCTCAGTTCTGAAAAATCTTAAAAATCTGTGAGTAGAGACACAACTCTTATGACTGCCATTTTTTTTTGTTCTCGATAAACTTAGTTTGTTTTCATCTATAGTAATGCTAATGACGCTTTTTATTACAACGACCTAATTGTTGTCAGGAGGATCAGTGACATAGGTGGACCAGTCCAACCATTCCCCTCGTTAAGGAATTCGACAGAAATTTCAAAGCTGTAAGTTAGATTCCTTCTTGAAGCTGTTCCATTTATCTCTTATTTAATCTAATTCTTTTTTATATATATATATATATATATATATATATATATTCTAGAATATTGAAGAACTGTAACCTTGCTGGACAAATACCCGACTATCTTTCAAATTATAAGATTCTGGAGACACTGTAAGCATGTCTATCAAGTCTCAGTTAGTTCTGTACATGAAACAGTGACAGGATTGATTAATTCTTATTACTGTTTGTGGGTAGGGATTTGAGTTTTAACAAGTTGCCTGGGGCCATTCCCACGTTTGCGCATGCAGAAAGACTACGGTTTTTGTAAGTGAAAAGAGACTAGTGTCATATATGTTAAATATTCTTATCTTACTTAGAATAATTTAGCTTACTTTTGTTTTGCAGAGTCTTGACTGGAAATAGGCTCGAGGGAGATGTTCCACCTGAATTACTAAGGGATGGAATCACTGTGTATGTATATTTCTCTGAATCCAAGTTTTGTCTCGCATTACATCTCCATTTTTTGATGATAGTTCACTTGTTGCTGCAGAGATCTTTCGTATAATAACCTCAAGTGGCAGAATCCTGAAAGTCGCTCTTGTCGTCCAAACATGTGAGGATACTGTGATTGTTTT